CACCCCCACACACACACCCTCACACACACACACACACACACACACACACACACACACAGAGACACACACATAAATGACAAATTTAATAACACGTTATTTATATATAAAATAAATCACATACCAATATAAAAGTATGTAATATAAAATCTACAAAAATCTATAAATAAATAAAACATATTTACAAAAATAATTTATATATAAATTTAAATAAATATATACATGTATAAAAATATATAAAATATGCAAATAAATATAAAATATGTGTCCCTGCAGCACAAAAGCAGTGTTAAGTCGGTGGGTTATATTTGTAGCAATAGCCAACAATACATTGTATGGGTCAAAATTATAAATTTCTCTTTTATGCCAAAAATCATTAGGATATTCAGTAAAGATCATGTTCCATGAAGATATTTTGCAAATTTCCTACCGTAAATATATCAAAACTTAATTTTTGATTAGTAATATGCATTGCTAAGAACTTAATTTGAACAACTTTAAAGATGATTTTCTCAATATTTAGATTTTTTTTGTACCCTCAGATTCCAGATTTTCAAATAGTTGTATCTCAGCCAAATATTGTCCTATCATAACAAACCATACATCAATGGAAGCTTATTTATTCACACGATGTACAAATCTCAATTTTGAAAAATGCACACTTATGACTGGTTTTGTGGTCATGGGTCACATATATAAATTAAAAATATATATTTTTATACATAAAAAAAAAATGTTTTATATAATAAATACAGTAAATATATTTTTTATAATATATATACATTTGTGATATTTTTGTGTAAGTGATGGCATTCTGACAACACCTGTATTATGTGCAAGAACGTTTGAGCTTCCAGTAGAATCTGGCATTTCATTTCATTGCGAGTCTTAACAAACACCTGACTGGCAAATCTCAAGCACACAACAGCGGGAACATATGAGCGGCGCTTCCTGGAAAACACAGTGACTCCACGTTTGCTTCAACAGGACAGTGTTTAGCGGATAATCCGCTGCTGGACCGGCACCGGCGCCGAGAGGTTAGCCAAGAGCCTTCCTCTGAACACATTTAATTAACTGCTAAAGCCGGCGGTCCGAGGCTCATTTACAGTGCTGAGCGGCCGGATCCATCTGCAGGGGATCTCAACAGCATAAAATAAAATGCATTGCGCTATTCTCAGATATTAAAACACTGAACTCTGACACGCAGGGCTGCATTTCTGCTCGAGCCCAGAGAAAAAAAGCCACCCAGCAGCGAAATTACAGAGCTTGATACGGAGGAGAAATAATGGAATACGAAGAGCTTTTCTCTGCAATTCTCCGGCGGATGAAGAAAGCCGGAGCCGGAGTCTTAGCGAGGATATGGTCTCTGAGACACGCTGAGACAAATCAAATGAAGCTGAAATTACGAGCGGTATTACGGCTGGACTTCCTCCTGCACTTCCTGTGAATCAGCTGATGGAGAAACACAGAACACTACACACACTCCAACAGCTTCCTGTTCACTACAGTCAGACCAGCAGATAGTCACCTAACTATCATTCTGTCCACACATCCATCTATCAATCCATCTATTCATCCATCATCCATCCATCTATCCACCACCAATCCATCATCCATCTATTCATCTTCTATCCATCCATCCATCTAGCATCTCTCCATCTATCCATTCATCAACTATCTGTCCATCCACCATCTATCAACCCATCCATCTAGCGTCCCTCCATCTATCTCTCTATTCATCCATCCATCTATTTGTCCATCATCATTCTATCCATCATCCATCCATCCATCTATCTATCCATCCATCCATCCAGCATCCCTCCATCTATTCATCATCTATCCATCCATCCATCTAGCATCCCTCCATCCATCCATCCATCTATCTATCCATCCAGCATCCCTCCATCCATCCATCAATCTATCCATCCATCCATCAATCCATCCATCTAGCATCCCTCTATCCATCTATCTAGCATCCCCCATCTATCTATCAATCTTCTATCCATCCATCCATCTAGCATCCCTCCATCTTTCCATCCATCCCTCCATCCATCCATCCATCTATCTAGCATCCCCCATCTATCTATCAATCTTCTATCCATCCATCCATCTAGCATCCCTCCATCTTTCCATCCATCCCTCCATCCATCCATCCATCTATCTAGCATCCCCCATCTATCTATCAATCTTCTATCCATCCATCCATCTAGCATCCCTCCATCTTTCCATCCATCCCTCCATCCATCCATCCATCTATCTAGCATCCCCCATCTATCTATCAATCTTCTATCCATCCATCCATCTAGCATCCCTCCATCTTTCCATCCATCCCTCCATCCATCCATCCATCTATCTAGCATCCCCCATCTATCTATCAATCTTCTATCCATCCATCCATCTAGCATCCCTCCATCTTTCCATCCATCCCTCCATCCATCCATCCATCTATCTAGCATCCCCCATCTATCTATCAATCTTCTATCCATCCATCCATCTAGCATCCCTCCATCTTTCCATCCATCCCTCCATCCATCCATCCATCTATCTAGCATCCCCCATCTATCTATCAATCTTCTATCCATCCATCCATCTAGCATCCCTCCATCTTTCCATCCATCCCTCCATCCATCCATCCATCTATCTAGCATCCCCCATCTATCTATCAATCTTCTATCCATCCATCCATCTAGCATCCCTCCATCAATCAATCAATCAATCAATCCATCAATCCATCCATCCATCCATATATCTAGCATCCCCCCATCTATCTATCAATCTTCTATCCATCCATTCATCCATCCATCCATCTATTCATTCATTCTCTATCCATACATCCACCATCTATCAATCCATTCATCCATCATCTATCTAATATCTCTCCATCTATCTCTCCATTCATTCATCCATCCATCTATTTGTCCATCATCCTTCTATCCATCATCCATTCTACTATCCATCATCCATCTATCCATCCATATAGCATCCCTCTGTCTATTCATCTTCTATCTATCCATCCATCCATCATATATCCATCCATCCATTCATCTTGCATCCCTCCATTTATCTATCCATCTTCTATCCATTCTATCCATCCACCATCTATCTCTCCATCCATCCATCTATCTCTCCGTATTAGTTCACTCTTTGATCAGAAGCTCATTTCTCTGTTTTCTGTTCATAACGGCAGCAAAGTCAGAACTGCAGCTCGATCCCTTCAAACGAACCCGCAATTAAAACGTGTGATTGGTGCAATTAGCTGAACATTATCCCAGACTCACTGATAATTGAATTAAGAGGGGTTTAGGTTAATCAGACACGGATGAATTATTTCACAAAGGTTAATAGAATCAATAACTTTTGTTGGGGAATCATTTAGTCATTCGCTAATCGCCTACATGATGTTCAGCTGTAAATCCGGTGAAAGCCAGCAGATCCTCCAACGGAAGAAGGTCAAACTCCTACACTGAGCAGAAATCAAAATAAACCTGGTTTCTGGGGCGAGAAATTTAATTATGTTTTATGTTTTTAAGTTTAACGTGTTACTACACAACTACAGACACTATTTGGATCAGACGGCATCAAATATTAATTAGAGAGCGAGAGGCGAGTGATAGGATGTTTAATGACGAGCCGGTGCTGAGAAGAACAAAGGCCAGATCTGGAGCGTCAGCAGAGAATAACTCAGCTGCTAAAGAGCAGAACAAGGCCTTTCTGAAGATTTACTGCCGACTTAAAGGCCAGCCATTACTTTACAGATATGACACTGACCGCTGTGATCTACAGACCTTCAGCTGAACCGCAGACACACATCACACACTCACACACACATCAGCACCACACACACTCACACACACACACTCACACACACACTCACACACACATCAGCACCAAACACACACACACACACTCACACATCACACACACACACACACATCAGCACCAAACACACACAGCCGTATGAAGCACAATCATCATCATCATCATCATCATTAGGACTACGCTTTATTTCTCAGAAACAAGCTGTGAATGTGACACAAACACAAACACCTCCTGCAGATTCATTCCTAGCACTCAGTGTATGTATATGTGTCTTTCATTAGGAAGTCGTTAACACATACTGTCACACATATTATGAATATGAATATTATGCTTATGAATATTCACATATTACTTACATGTGCAACTATTAGAATTCAGAGGGTCCCAAAGTCTGATACCACCAGCAGAATATGTCGATTTAGCACTTTTCTATTCATAACTTCAAGTGTATATTGCATTTTACAATAATAAAATGTAATATTTCTTCTATTAAAAATATAAAAACATGAATATGAAAAATGTCTTATTATTTTACTATCATTTAAAAATAATAAAAAATAAAATTGTTTTTCAGCTCTAAATGAAATTTAATTTAAATAAAAAATAAATAAACAAACAAACAAACAAACAAATAAAAGTAGTTTGAGTGAGTTTGGTGATGATGTACATTAATTCTAACTTCTAAATTCTAAAATTATTTATTGAAATTAAAAACAAACAAACAAACAAACTAAACTAAATGTAATATTTCTTCTATTAAAAATATAAAAACATGAATATGAAAAATGTCTTATTTATGTTCATATATTTTACTATCATTTAAAAATAATAAAAAATAAAATTGTTTTTCAGCTCTAAATGAAATTTTATTTAAATAAAGAATAAACAAACAAACAAACAAACAAATAAAAGTAGTTTGAGTGAGTTTGGTGATGATGTACATTAATTCTAACTTTCTAAAATCTAAAATTATTTTTATTGAAATTAAAAACAAACGAACAAACTAATGAATTAATTAATTCACAGGTTCTTGTAATTTTAGTAATATCATACATTATTCCTAACTTTTTAAAATTCTAAAACTTTGCTTTCCATCTTTATTTTGAACAAACAAACAAACAAATAACATAACCAACCAACTAAATAAATAAATATTCAAATAATAAGTGAATAAATTCAATTCACTTCACAGGTTTTAGACATTTTTAGTGTAGTATGTTCTAAAACGGTTTTGCAGCTTTAATTGACATAAAAAATAAACTAAATACACAACTAACAAACCAAATAAATACATTAAAAAATTCAATGAATAGGTTTTAGTGATTTTTAGTGATGTGGTATATTATTCTAAAACTGTGTTTTCCAGCTTTAATTAAAATGAATAAATATTTAATTAAATTGCATTAACATGTTTTAGTGATTTCAGTGTGGTCAGTGTCGACTTTTGGAACCTGCTTTATATGAATATAAACGTACATTATTCTTAAGTGTCACAAAGCTGTTTGTTGTAAGTATTACTGTAAGCCGCTTTTGTTGGTTTTCTCAAATGCAGTAAATCTTCCTCTCGTTCCAGCCGCCGCAGGATCAGAGACCTTACAAACTCGTCCTTTAATTAACGAGGAGGAAGCTGCAGCCATGGCAACCGGAAGCTGCTGGAGCGCTATGTGAGCGGAGCTCGTTAGAAACACGTAACCAGCGCACGGACAATACAACAAGCCAATAACACCTGCATCAACAACAACACAGAGAGAGAGAGGATTCATATCTCCGTCTGAGTGTGATGTATGTGTGAAGTTAAGGCCGAGCGCTGGACGTATTGATCAGCCTCGTGTGTCCAGCAGATTTAATAGCATCTCTAAAGATCCCTGATTTACTCCCTCTTTCATAAACCTGCTGAGGATCAGCGCCGGATTCTGGAGGACAGCAGCTCCCATAATGGAAAACACAAAGACAGAGATTCACTTTCAGGAGAATTTACAGTCCGAGAGTCTGACCGAGGAGACAGGTTTCAGGACAAAACATAACAAAACCCCTAAACAAACATGTCCAGGCCGTAAAATAAAAAATGCTTTCTTATTTTGTACAGTACTATGGTAAAAAGTACTCATTGGAAAATTGGTGTGAACATAACGTCACACAAATTTTCTATTTATTTTCCATTTTCAATTTATTTGACTTTTTTTCAAATAATAAGCTATTTAAATAATAAAGTAAAATAAAAATACATATTTTTTGCATTACAGTAAGGGTTGGAGTTTAGATTTTAATAAATAACTTTACATTTAAAAGAAAAAAAAGTACTAAGTAACAAAGTCGTACACATTTTTAATTGAAATAAAACTTATATCAAATAAACTACTTTTTACATTATAAAAGTAATAAAAAGTCATGAGAATTTGGGGTAAAATGTTATAGTTTTTTTTTTAATAAAAATAATAATTAAAAAAAAAAGTACTCATTGGACGGTTGGTGTGAGCATAAAGTCACACACGTTTTTAATTTAAATAATGCTTTAAATAAAATGAAAAAGGATTACAGTAATGAGAATTTAGGGTAA